AAAATCAAATGTTCGATCTATCTATGCTTCTCTTATTCTAATAATTTAACATAATTGATGCTATTCCTTTGATCTAATGCCGACATAGTCCTGAGAATTGCATTTTAGCCGAATGCACTATCTGTTAAATACATCCAAGCAGAAAATCTAACTATATACATTCGACCTGTGGTGAGTAACTATTTACCTTTTAACAAATCGTCTGAATCATTTAATTTTTTGCGTGTCCTCATCCCTAACGCCGATTTTTTTGTATTGTTAGCGGCGGCCGTAGTGTTTTCTTGTCATATTATGCGAATTCTGTTCCTTTCTGTGCTAACTAAATAACTAGCCAAAAAGAGATATATGAATAGAAAAGTAAATACAGTGCTCGGCCTAGGGAAGCACATTCAGTCCTCTAGCTTTCATCTTCCGTGTCTCGTTTTGTGTTGGGTCGAGTACAAACTCAAAAGGAAGAGGGTTCTCTGTCACCTTCCAAATGCATATCCAAGTGCATATACCTTGTCGTGCACGGGATTGAACACCGAACAGATGAATGGGAGACAAGCGTATTACTGCTACTTCACCAGCGCACGCTGAGATTACCAAGTCTATCATCACCACTGGACGGGTGGACGACGCCTCGAACGACGACCTAGTAACTATTTTGTTTGTGTTGATCGACTGACCTGCTTGTCAGAATTACCAGCTTCAGTATCGCCAAGGCCACGGATATGTACACCTGTGGGGTTCTCATAAGAACGAACCTCGAGTCCACTGTTGTCCCCTTTTAGTGTGGACTCATGAAAACAGTTGCGGGATAGAGGATTGTTGATGATGAGACTGATGAGCCATAATTTAGGCTTCACTGATGTTTCGTCTTCGCTATCCCAATATACTGTTTTTATGTCCACTATTAGGTGCAAAACAAAAGGTAGATAAAGAGCGGGATACGAATCGATTAGAGACATACCGTTTTGTCTTGCATTTGGTGGTCAAGCAGCTTGGTATATAAAGAACCTCAAGATAAATTAACTCCCCACAAAGTCACAAGGAGACAGAAGGCCCTACGACAGCCCGCATTCAAGTACATTGAGGGCGGGCCTCACTTGATTACGGCAATGTTTATTTAGACGTCCTTCTTAAAGCTCCGATTTGAGTTACCTTGATCACGAGACTAATGCCAAAGTAGATCCCCGTAGAGAAGGTGAGTTCAACAAACTCGACAACCCTTGCTTTTCGTGTGGGCCTCTTTCTGATGAAGATTTTTTACTAAACCAGTTTTCAGTAATGTATAGTTTACCTGACGCAAGACGGACCTGTTTATTTCAGTGTGATGGAATAACGAAGGAGAATCTGAAGTATCAACTTCTTGGTCCATATCGATTGATGAATTGCACACCGAAACGACTAGATTCTAGCATTTCTGGGAGGCCACAGCAATACACTGTCACCAGAAACTACGAAAAAAATCTGCGATGAAGAGCATGACACATATCGATCTCGCTAAACATCCACACTCGAAGCGATCGCATTGTTTTTTTCTTCATTTCTACACTGTATCAATTTTTTGACTTGCTAATGTATCCTGATGTCTTAATTTGCTTACGGAAGACATGGGCTGATGTCAGTGTTCTAGAGATATAACATATGGCGTCAGGCTTCTTTTATATCACGTGGAACCATTGACAATTGACAGTCCTATATAACCAGGAGGTCTGTAATGAGTGAGCTTATGAGACTCTGTTGACACCACGCAAAAGGTAGGCTGTAGTTTCGCTGCTGAGCACGTGCAGACTCGGATATATACTAACCGAAGCATCATTCCATTTACCTCACAGATTTGATTGCAAAGCTAAGTGATCGTGGTACCAATGGAGTGAGTTGCTGTTACTATTTCCAGCTGACTTTCAATGCCAGTCATTCGCTTTCATTTTGATTTCATATAAGTAATAATACCTCATATATAGTTGAAGAAGCACTTTCATTTGATGACATTTGAGTGGGCTTAATATTAGTTCACCTGTTGAATCAACCCACAGACTGAGTGGTTTTGAAAAAAGGAACTTTTGTCTCGCAATCTACCGAGTCTTTTACCGTTAAAATATTTCTACCTTAATGTCCTTCTTGAAGAAGTGAGTTCCTCATGTTCCACCAAGGTCTAAAGGATAGAATGGGAAGACCCATTGAGTGCAGTTATTGGGTATCTTGGTAAGTGACAAAGAATTTCATAGCAACCGTGAAACGATTGACAATGGACGCATCAAAGAAGGCGGATTGTATGTTCCGTCTTCAAACATAGCAAGGAGAATGGGTTTGAACAGGTGGACTCACTAACAGTGGTAATAAGGCTAACGAATAAGCCTAATCTGCCGATACATCATGGAGGCTGATGGTTGGTAGGGCGTCTTTCGTTTGGAACAACTCTGCCAGGCGGTACTGATGAATGAGGACAGTTTACTGTCTGTGCAATTCGCCCCTGTTTACCACTCCATGAAAGCGCTCCACCGATCTCTGTATGTTTCAAAGTTTACTGGAACAATCATTCTGCAAATTCTCTGTGCAGTAAGCTAATTGATTGCGGGAGCTTTGGCGAAACAGCGGCCATCGGGTATTAAGAACTCGTTTTACCACTTAAGATATCTTTTTAAAGATATCAAGGCAGAATGTGGAGATATTTATCGGCCCAGGTAAGTCTTGAGAGATGACGAGCAACGAATTATAGCTTAATGTGGAATAAAACAGCCATTCTCAGAGAATCATCTAGGTGTAGGACAGAGATTCGAATAAACTTTTCGGACCAAAAGAATATATATATATATATATAGTCGTTTGCTTGGACAGAAGTACAAGCATTCGTTCAGCTGTAGAACCCTTCCGGTGCCTAATTACCATGCCACCCGAAGGTTGCACGAGGGCTGGGATACTGCCAGGTTGCTCAAGCCTAGACAGGGGAAGTCGAGAGGCAGAGGTCGGGTTCGAACCCGGACTTTCCGGTCAATATATCGTGCTCCAACCACTTCGGCCATCTCGCCTCCGTAGTATAAGGCCTTTCGTAAATGAACAGACTTCTTTTGGATTACAGGCATCTGGAGAGCAGCAAGAGGCTCATTTTCTTCGTCTCTGTGTAGTTCACGTATGACATAAGAGTCTACAATTCGTCACAATAACCGAGTGGTCAACATGAGTCGAAAACTGCACACATTGTCTTCTATACGATGAAGCAGTAAAGAAAACTCTGTGTGTTGGATCTTACAAATCCGTACTGAATGTTTTTACGGACAAGTATACGGAAAGTTATGGAGATAACTAATTTCATACCATTTACAGAGTCAGTCCAGGTATCTTTCATCAGAGAAGCATCCTGGAACGTTTAGTAGGCTGCGAAAACAACCCAAAGGTGAATCAATTCGCCTTGAATGGTATTCAAATTCTGGTATAAAACCCAAAAATCCAGCGGTAGATCTGGTCATGCCTAGACTTCTGGGGAAGGGGGTTCGAAAGTCTTGTTGGTTTGAATTAATATCTCTAATCGATGTATCATCTAAAATTTGTGCAGTGATTCAAAATTTGTTTAAAACAACTATGCATACTTTCCTTCTCGAATTTATTTTAGCGACGGGGAGATTGAAGAATTGTTCCGAATAATTGACAAAGACAACAATGGAAAAATAACAAAGAGTGAACTGTCTAAGTTCTTCAAAAGTCATCGTTGCAAGTACAGTAGCAAACAAATTTCACAATATGTGAAAAAAATTGACCAAGATGGAGATGGAAAGATCACCCTTATGGAATTAAAAGCGGCCCTAAAAAGATCTGATTAATGCCAGCAAAATTGTCTCCTCTCGTTATTTCTCTTGCGATATCATGCTTAAAAATTCATTTAACAACAGATAAACTATGACATTGTTTTTATTCTTGTGGTCTCTTAAAGGGTATCGGGAAACTCCTCTGAGTTCGATTCTTTACATCGCCTTTCATGTAAAACCGATGGAATTGAGCCTTTCTGAAACTAAAAAACAATGTCCGCACACCGGGTGGAAGTTTTGAATGTCTGTTACAAACCACCCTATGGCCTCAGGTTTCAACAATTTTCCAGTCAGCTCGAGATACCCAGCTACTGACATCAAAAGACATGACACGTCTATCTGAGGGTCAGATTATGCGGGAAGGTGCGCCACTATTGACAACATCAAAAAGCTTCGACCTTTCTACCATAAACTCAAAGTTAGACTTTGTAAAAGTTTTAATCAGACGGGATTACCAGTCATTAGAGTGGAATCTATTCATATACTTCTAAGAAGGCAGGGATGGATAACGACTGGGTATTTTGTTGTTAGTATGGAGAGATCTAGAATTTTTTTGGAATGTGATTTCATACTCTAGGTGGAACAAGTCTATGTTTGAGAATCACAATACGATTGCCTTTCATTTTTAATGGAATACGCATTGGTGCGTATCTCACGAACCACCGTCCCCAGGACAAGTACCAGTTCGGTCATGATCGGTTGACTGTTATGTTTAACTCAGACAGGATTTATGTTACCCATCCCTTAATCATGGAGTTCACATCACGTGGTCATGTGTAGACTGGCAGCACCAGTGACGAACTCTCGGATGAAAGTCACCCCTTGAGTGACTTATTGATTGTTGGTCGTGTTGGAAGATATGAGGTATTCCAATGAAGACTTCACACTGTATTAAAGCCAGTCTTTGCTGAAAAGCTTAGATTGTCTCAATTATTTCTAGATTTCTCCTAACCCATATCGGTTCACAACTGCTGCGTAAGCGAAAGGAAGAGCAATAGAAAAGACACATGAATGCTGCCAAAATTTAAATGGAGGCAAGTGAAAAAAGGAGAAGGATATGAGTGCGAGGGCTTGGAAAGTGGCTTACAACTTAAACTCTGCTATCAACCAGGAGGGAAATTGGTCAGTTATACTATCATACCTAACTTACTAACATGAGGGATTGCCCTGGATCTGCCAGCAGGTCACTGCTTGGTCACATAACTCAGGGCAATGACGGTTGCTATAAACTGCCTCAGTAAGGAGATTGTTCGAACTTCAGTTTCGCTACTCTCAGACAGTCTCGCTAACCACACAATTAAGTATTCACTCTTACAGTGCAAGAGGAAGCACTCATTGGTTATTGGTCTGTTCGCCGACCTTGGCACTTGGATTGTTAACGTTTCATCAACGACCGAGGTGAGATCGTTAGTGCGGGGTTGAGTGGCCCACATATTCGCATCAAAGAATTTATTCGAAGCGACCATTCCAACACAAGGGGTGTGATTCTTGCACCTCTGGCAACACAGATACTGACTTCCCCACCTTGCGATGCTTACCTTTGACACGTGATACGTATGTCCTAAAGTATCGAGCTGTTAGCCGCCTGTTAGCGCATTTACTAATCATATCTTTGCATTAGGTCAAGTGCTTGGCACCCTGTCATACCGAGGACAACCAGTAACAGTTTCTGTCCAGCTGAAAAGGGACCTTCGGCGATGTGGATGAACTGACTACTCTGAATATGTGTGGTGAAAGTTAGATGACCATCGCGTCTTCCGGTCCTGTATTCCCATGGGTTCTATTAGGTTGTACAGAATGTTACTTACAACTAACGAAGTTCTCCAGGGTTGTGACCATCCCTTCTTTGTTATTCAATTTTTATCACCAATAGCGTCATGGAAGGCGTACTCAAAAAGGGACTATGAACATATGCCTATACAGACTAGTCTAGATTGGATATTGGACATTGTCCCGTATTTCGGTATGATTCTTCCACCCTCAAGGCAGTTCAGACGCGTTCCTCTGAAACCCATAAATAAAGAAACTGAATTCGTTAATCCATCCACATATAATGACAGCTTTTGAAAAGATGTACTGAAAAAGTGAAGCCAGAGAGCAAGCAGTTTTTACCCAACTTACTCCAGTTCTGAAATGAGTTCTGCTAAATCCACAGGGTTCTGTAGGCAATAAGAATCTCTCCGTCGGATTTTGAAAGGAAAACTTGCCCTCTTGCCCATCCGAAATTCTCAAATGACAGCAGACGTTTAATGAACGGTGTCCGCTCAGCGCAACACGAGTTCGCATGCAGCAGCTAGGCCTGATGAATCGAACGACGACCCAGTAACTCTCCTGCCTCTATCGAACGATAGAACCGCCCGTCAAAACTTACCAGTTAATCCCACGGCTGTCTGAAGCCCACTGGATTCTACCATTATTTTCCAATTTGAAAAAGCAAGCACTTCAGTCCTTTTTAATAATTTGTTCTTATCAGAAGCACATATCTCCAGCCATGATTGCTTTTGAGCTTTCTATCTGTGACAGGTGGGAATGCGCGTTGCAATACATTATCAGTACGTATTAGGCGTGCCTAATTTTTTTCTCATCTGAGCAGACTAATCGGTAATTTGCGGAGGAGTCGGTTAGCTCAGCTGACTGACTTGCTAAACCACACAAATTTACCGCTAGTTAAGCAACTCCAGAGAGAGAGAGAGATGTCGTATAAAGTGCATGCGGTAGTTTCCTTTGAATGTTGTTTTGTGAACAAGAAAGATGGTACAATCAAGGTTGAAATCATTTTCATCTGTCATAAAGGAAACTACTCACAAGTTTGCTGAAAACTCTTCGACAGCCCACGACCGGTTTCGCCCTTCTTTTGGTTCACCGGGTAGGTGCAATCCCCGAGTTTCTGTCAACCAAATTGCACTGTTTTCGAGAAATACACTCATTTGCAAAAATCGATTTGGTTTCACGGGAGGACTCAATTGAATCTCCCGTTTATGATGTCCTCCAGCTGAATGTGCTGCACACAGGCCGCCTCATGATTCAGTTGGCACGATATTCGAGATATCGCACTATATTTTCATAAAGGAAACTACTCATCTGTATTGCAAAATAATGTCAAAATGAAGAAACTTAGTCAAGATTACAGTGTGGGGCGCTGTTTACAACGATAGGTGTCTCCTCAGGCAACCAGTATATCACTCTTAATGCGGGAACTGATGCTGCCTTCTTTTGAGTTAGACAGATTCTAAGGTCGTACCTGGAAAGTGCACACGCCGATTACCCAATGGATCGTTACCCACAGCGCATTACACCGTATAGTCGGAAACTAGTAAACATCACTCTTTCATGTTGACCACATCTTGATGTGCCCTTGTTTGTCCACAGTGAAACCAGGCTGGCTCTCGTTAAACATTCTAATGGAGTGAAATAAAACACGAAAATCGAAGGCTTCGCGAGGCTGGATACACATTTGTGGATCATATTAACCAGATCTCATTGGATGAGTCGAATAAAATCATCTTGGTTACAATGGCGATCCGATTCCTGGAACCAAAGCTAAGAGTTGCGAAAGTTATCAGCATCCGTACTCTCCCTCACAGGTTTAAACACTTATGAAGTGACAAACTTTGTTGCCAACTGTCGAAAGTAAGCCTATCTGCATCTTTAGCTGACACCTCATTCCTGTTAATTTCAATACTATCATCGGCAAGCTATTGAGAAAATGGAAGAGGAAAGAAAGTTACTTTGGTAAGACATCCGTGAAGGATTATAATAGAAGATTACTCACAGTGTGGGTAACATCACAACAGTCAATAAAAAACAAGACATTCAGCATGGAGTGAATGGCCCTTGCTAAATCTATTCATGCAAGAACTAGGCCGAGTCATGCAATCACATATATCCCCGTGCTGCAGTGAAGTCTCTGTTATGTGCTGATCACATAAGTGGTGTGGGCAGCCATTGTAACATGGGTGGCCGTTTATTGGTTACGCCTGCACTAAGCCTGCCAGACTACGCGATAAGAAGACAGAAAACACTGGACACGACTGTATTGTCAGGAAAAAACATAGAGCTTCTGCGTAAGTATATAGGATGACTAAATGGCCAAAAATGGTCGTTCACTTGTTCGTTCTGTACAGCCAATAGTGGTGTTCTGGTCGTGAACAATTTCAGTCCCACTCCACTGGTCTTATGTTGCTAAAGTGTGTTTGGTGGGCTCCACCAACTCACCTGCTTTCAGAAACCTGTCGTACCGATAGTGACCTTGGGGATGCTTCACTCTCTGCACATGAGTTTCTTCATGTCTGGGAGTGTCCTGACAAAAGCCCAGACTGCCAAGCGAATCAACCTCTGGTGCCTGCCAAGGTAGGTATCGCATTCGAAATAATACTGTCGTGGTTCAAGTAAGACTTAAGACACCGGAAGAGCCGTTAAACATCACGGAGATTATAAGAAGCTATAAAGCAGGGGCTAATAATTAACCAGGTACCGAGTACACGTGATTGTATATCCCACACATGTATGGTACTCCGGTCAACAAAGCTTGGAGTACAGTGAGCCTAGTAATATGGTGACTGAGTGACACACCCTAACATCATCGGTAGCTTTGTTGAAGAGACGCAGGTTACAGCATGTGACAAAATCTACAGCTGCATACGACGGATGGTGTCTAGAGGCCAGTTTAATTTTAAAGCGAAACAAATGCTCTGAAATGTACACCCGGATGCCATACCTTCTAAAGGAAACTCGGGCATCTTATTATAGAAATTAGTAAAGTTTTTATTGATTTCAGTACCCAGATCACGGATGGTGAAAGAGCGCTCGGCAGTGACCAACAGGTACTGTTGGCTGACTAGTCTGGAGCCTTTTGGTACAACGAAGTATCAACACAAGTAGATGTCAAACCTGATAACTGGAAAGCGACGAAAGAGTAGAATGATGCACGTGTGAATGCGTGAAATGCCCCCACTGCAGTAAATGTGTTGGGAGAATGTGCAAGAAGCCAATGGGTGCGTATTCTGTAGGAGTTTTGACTGGTCCGGGGGCCATAGAACGGTGCTAGTTATGACTGGGTGAATTATCATTTCGTGGATGAATACACAAATGATCAGTTGGCGATTAATATTCACGGGATGTCATTTCCAGGGGCTACTACGTTCGCTCTCGGATCACTCTATTTGTTACAGATGTCAGTATTAAACAGACTAATCCAGTCAACTGTTGAGATCCGTCGGCTAACTCATCACATGAGGTTTTAGCGAACCAGGCTAGTATTTACCAAGGGCGGTTACGTGAATGCCCACCGTCCGCTGGAGAGTAATTACGTGAAGTTAAATCTAACTACATAATACGAGGAATAGCTGTAACACTGCTGAGCATGGATGATGTGTGGCGAGGTACAAGCTTGGTAGACAGCTGCATCGAGATCGACCGAGCAGTTCAGAATGACTGTCTTTGTAGAACAGAGTGAGCGACGCATGTATTTTTAGGTTCCGTCATTTTGCTGTGATTGAAAGTGGTAGGATAACATAAATGAAAATATAGCAACAATTATTTCTTGCAAGCTGTCCTGGAAGGACTGATTTTTTATCAGGTGCCCTTTGGTCTTTTCATAGAGTTTGGCAATTACCGTATAAACGCTTCCTCAGCAAAAGATTAGACATCACCAGTCCGATGGTGAGTAAGTCTCCATGTTTGGTGACAAAAGGTTTGCAAGTTCATTGCCAAGTTCGGAGAACACTCGGTCAAACACCAGTTAATCAGACGCCCAAAGAGGGACCGGGAAATTTCGACGCTTTTGTTACTACTCTTCTGCAACAGGGCAACGCCTATATATGTATATATATGTATATATGTGTTTTATACATAGCAGATATACAGCTTGAAGTGGTGGCTAATATCCATTTTATGTGGCGACCCAAGGCGTAAAGTACGGTCGGTACTCCCGAGTTTGCACAGTGATCCGGCTAGCAAAGCTTTCTAAGCAGAGCGGTGGTCCCATAGCTAGTGTTTAATGCGGAAAACCATATGATGTGTCATCGGGGGTGAGCTCAACCTTGGTTGGTTCAGATCTCATGGTTTACTCGCATAGGATGATCATTTGGCGAAATCAGTCGACGATATTGCATTGCTTAGAGTAGTCCTCCAGTTGAATGACGATTCCTGGGGTGTTCCTGGTCTGCAAAGACGAACAAGAAATAGTTTATTTCACTCAAAAAGGCACCTTCGAATATTGATGCACTAAGCTAGCGCTGTGGACGGTTGTCAGACAGGAATTTCGGTGCCCCCGATAAAAGGTGGAGCCATGAGGCTGCACATGCTTCGTCGTGATGGTGCACTGGAACATTGAGTCTGTCTCGGAAAACCCTAGTCACACCGGCCAGCCAGCAAGCTCCGCCATATCACTCAAGTGCAAGCTGTTTTATCAAATGTTATTGCAAGAAAACGTTTGATTCCTCGAGTTAGAAGAAATCAGCGGTTATTTTTCAGATTTGTCAGACTACTCATGAGTAGCTTGACCTACATCTGCTCACCACAACATATTTTGCCCCCTACTGCTCGTCGTCCGGTTTCTTTAATCCTGTTTATGGTTTTGTTACCATCTAGATACTAATGTTGAGATTTTTTGCCTTTCCGTCTTTGCTTATAATTTCATGACAACTGTACGTATTTTGGAATGTTAACTCCTACAGAAACCAGGTCGCCCAGGTGTCGAACTCGGACCTCGCGGATGACAGACGACCGTGCTATGCACCTCCGGAATTCAAACCTTTGTGTTATCTTTGTATTGCATCTTACCTGGTAGTTGCTGATTGTTTGAACTTTTTTATGATGGACCTACTCACGCATTCCACTTTCAACTCGTAGCGTGTGTTACTTTGTCGAGCTTTCAGGTAAAGCGTGCAGGTATATTTCATCTATGACAAATTCACCCTATACTCGTTTTCCAGCTATTTTCCGTTTCTTCCGGATTCAGAAATAACGTACCAGAATGCCGACTGTTTCCTTTAACTCCGTACACAACCTATTTACACTGCCCATATCCGTATGTGTGTATATCACTTGATATTTACTCGTTATCGCTCCAAGGAAGCTCTGATGCTCCTCTGTGTTATTGTTGATTGCATGTTCTTACTAATTCATTATGTCTATCGTTTCATTTTTTCTGGAACCAATTGTCAATACAGCATCTACTGCTCTCATTTGCCTGTTCCTACTGCCCGGTATCTATTCATTATCAGCTTGGTCTATTCCAATACCTCCAATTGTCCTTTAAGAATCGTAGCTACCGGAATCTTACAAAAACCAAACCTTATGATGCTCCAGTCAGGACCAACGACTGAATTTTAACAGAATTTACCAAGTAGGCTCTGTACTTAAGATAGATCAACGTCGGAACCAACCAAAGTGTAACGACAGCTTAGGCCAGGTGCATCCAGTCTGGAACATGATTGTGAAGTTCATGGGTAAAAATCCCTTTGAGGTATAAAATGACTGTTTCGGGTTTGGGTTAGGCCGGACTACGGGGGCCGTGACACTTGATCAGTTAACCAAATTTGCTTTATTGCGATTTTCACCATTACTAAATTTCTTTATGCAATGATAAATCTGAATGGACAGATCAGACAGCTGAGTGAAATGTGACGTAGTGAATCACAGTTAACAGGAAACCAACTAATCTCAAGGTCAAAGAATAACTATCACATTTATTTCCATAATCAAAACGGTCTTCCTCAAGGTGCGAGGAACGAGATAAAAAATTGACGGAATAATATGCAAAAAACTAATGTTTCGACTCGGGGACTACTCGGCTTCTACCTATCTTTCACCATTCAAGTGTATGACGATAATGATGATGAAGATGCTGATGAATAGTATGATTATCTAACCCTCTTAAGGCTGAATCAAATGTTGGCTGCCGTTCTGACGAATGTGGTACCAGTGGAGCTGTGAATACTACTGATGAGGCATGGGAGTAATATGTGGTTTTCTCATAAATCCGCTTCGCGTCCACTGAAAAATGAGATTTATTACGGAATTTGTGAAATCGCCTTGTAGTATTTTTTCACATTTGAGTGCCATTCAATGAGTGTCCAGGAAAGTTCAGGAAGACGCGTTCGAAAAGAAGACGGATACACAGTTTTTATAAACGAAATGCCTATGGGAGTTTTGCTTCCCTCTCCAATGGTCGGTAACTGTTCAGTTGGTGTTTCCTTGTGAATAGCTCTGGGGTGGAGACCTCCCTTTTTAGGGATGAAAATGTTGGTAGCTCGGGTAGACTGGATTGTCGTTGGCTTGTTCGCTGAGCTGGGCAATTAGGTTGCAAATGTTTCACTACCAACCTAGTTGACATCATCAGTGCGTTTTTGGGGAGCGCAAGGGTGCGTAGCGCTGGGTTAGTGGTTGTGCCCACAGGTGTACCCACCGTTGCGCTCCCCAATAACGCACTGATGATGTCACCTCAATTGGTGATGAAACGTTTGCAATCAAATTTTCCAGCTCAGCGGACAAGCCAACGACCAAGGCCTTCTTCCTTCTACCGGAATCAGCGTAGAAGCTCTTGTCAGCTGGTGTTCACCACTAACCAAGGATCTGATGTGACTTGAGTTTCCTACTTGGTCCGCCCAGATGATTGGCTTGCAGCTGAATTGGGCTAAACGGTCAACAATGGCCAAAATACTGGATGGCCACGCATACTAGAAGACTGACTGACAGTTAACCATAATTAAACTGTAGCCTTGGAGCTGATGTGAAACGTATTGAATAAAATCTATAATCTGACATGTAAAGACAAGTCACAATATATCATTTGGCAAAACTTGATGACCTATCAAGGGGGAATGGCACCAAACCCTTCGTTATCATCCAGGTACCGATATCTTCCGTCAGTTCTCACAGTGTTCAGTATATGCCTATCAGTGTTTGAATGAACACCCGCCGAAAATCTTCCTAAGGAAAACCACATAGCCATTCATATGGCCATCATCCTGATGGTGTGTAGGTGACTGGTCCGGAATAACACCTTTATGACGAAATACTGGTGAAAGGAAGAAGGCATTCGCTGCAGAGTTATTTATTAGAAATTGCCAGCTGACCGGCTACAGACGATTGGAGAGGGAAGCAAAACACTCATTCGCATCTTATTCACAAAAGCTGGACATCCATCTGAACGCATCTTCTTGAACTTTCCTGGATATTCATTGACTCCAATCATTCCTCGCTCAAATTCAAGCAAATGTTACAAAGTGACTCCACAAATTCCGCAACAGATCTCCCTTTTTCAAGAGACGCAAAGCGAATTTCTAAGAACGACACACATTACTCTCATGCCTTCCCATCAGTAGTATCACCGTTACACTGGTAAGTGCGATGCTGAAACTGTTTATCTGACAACTCTGCTAAAAACCACACATTTTTTATCCAGGAAAATCAGGTCAACCGATCTGAATTATCACTGAGTTGATGAAATCAACGGTAGCAAAGATTTAGAAAGTGAACACCCTGTGAATGTCCATCAGGCGTACGTTTTAAACTAAGTCTTAACCTGCAGGCATCGGTGAGAATTTCCACCTTGAGCACGCATTAGCAAGCTGCCTCCCTTCAGCAAAGCCTCCAAGGGTTATTGGGTGTGTCGCTTGGTTGCCATATTACTGGGCTCATGATACTCCAAGGTTTCTTGACTGGATTGTCACTACAAGTGTGGGATATACCGGGCGCCATACAAGACAGTGGTGTGCGAACAATGATTGATGCCGCCCGTGTCACTCCATTGCGAAACTCAACATGCACACTACTGGCCTTGGTGGACAGTTGAGCAAGACCAGTAATTACTAATTTTGCAATGAACTTGGCTTTCGTAGTGACTGAATGGCGGTCATTTATCCGTCACTCAAATCAAACGAATACAAGTAGCAGTAGAGTTCCGCGCAACGGTACGAGGTTGAAGCTAAAGGCGGCTGTGTTTCTGTTTATGCTGACAGTGAGGTGCGTCAGACATTTCGCCTTCTCTACACATACTTTTCTCAAGCCCCAATCATCTGGAGACAATTATGAAATACGAAAAACGGAAGATCCCAGCGTTGTCTGGAGAATTGAGTGGATGGAATCATCAGGCGGTAGCGTGGAGATCTGTTGCAAAGCCTCATCTAGCCTAAACGCTTCGGAATGAGTTACTTGGTTATCAACGTAGTGTGGTTTTCGTCCGCCAAATCCCTTGATTTTCAGTGTAGTACTGGACCTTCCTGAGCGCATCATTTCGAAGATGTCTTTCGAATTCACCCAATAGCGCACGCTGGATATGGCACTAGATAATCTGACGACATTTCCTTTCTTATAAGTTTGGGGATATTATCGTCAAAAGGCAGAGAGCATTTGTCCCATTAGACTGGAGTCCATCTTATTCTGATTACTTCGAATGAGACGCGATTGTGTATCGTTTTTGCCATTTCCCTTGCGACGATGAGTTCTCACAAGCCGGCGTTCATTTCCAGCATGGTTTTGTTCCCGATTCGTTTTTTTTCATATAGACAAGAAATGTGGAATGAAATCTTGATACAATATTTTGGCTTTCCTAATTGCTCCGAACTTGAATTCTCTTCAGATGGAAATTACTGTGGGTACGCCGTATGATACGCATTGACGTAATCCTGGCGTAGAAAAGGTCAGCCAATCAAACTAATCACGTCCCAGGCAAACTTATTTCCGATATTAGGGGAATAAGTGCCTAACAAAATTCACGCCCTCATTTTTTCACGTTGGTTAGACTGCGCTCCTCCCGGCCTGGCGTGCTCTATGATGCACCGAGTTAAATTTCACTTCCTGGCGTTCAAGACATTCACAGGTTTGGGGCGATTAAGTTTTGTGATTATCCATCGATGATGTTTTCTGGTCAATGTGTTTTCCATGCCATATTTATGGGCTTGCTTCCTGGGTTGACTTACCTGGGTTTCGTTTTCAGCTGCGGTTTCTCAAAGCATCCACCCAGAAAGACGTTTACACCATCGTACAGCTGTCACGCTGACAAAGATAGCGACTGAGGTTTCCTCAGTCCACCGCCGTGAATCACAACAGGATGGGGCTACTAAACCTGGAGAGGCATGAAGGTTTGCGCTGTAACTTTTCTTGACATTAGATTACTCTTCGATGGCTCACTGCTGTTTTCGCCTTCGTGCAGCTCAGCAGACAGGCCAAGTCCCGGAATATTTAACCAAGCTATTTTCTGCTTCAAAGCCAAAATATCTACAGATGTTGAATATTGTTCATATTCAGATCAATCTAGTGTTAACAGGAGAATCAAAGTTTTCAGCCCAAGAAAATGTATTTTGATTGATCGATTGTTAGAAAGAATGGGAAAAGAAGCGCAATACACTCATTTGCATACCAATTTATTTTTGCCGAGGGTCTCACCAGTGAATCATGATAATTCCCCCATTCATTTGCTACCTCCACCTATGCGCTTTTGATCTCCACCTGTTTTCCTCTTCTGCACCCGCCACTCACTTTGCCGCAAAGGCGGTCCCGTCCCAACATTGTGTATTGGCACGGGTATGTGCAGCTGACCTTCTCAACTGTGCGCGTTCGTGTCCTGTTTGCTGAGCCTACCCTGACTTGTTCCCTCTTGAGTTTCGTGTGATCGCCCCGCCAATGAGGATCACCAGACTGTCGTCGAAGAGACAACGCCTACCCTGACTTGTTCCCTCTTGAGTTTCGTGTGATCGCCCCGCCAATGAGGATCACCAGACTGTCGTCGGAAGAGACAACCGCAACGCACACTACTCAGCCAACAGTCCGCTAGGCGTTGTTTGGTGTGTGGACGTTCATAGGGCACGGTCGGTGACAGACTTGTGCTCAACTTGATGCTACAAACGTGGACAAATGAGGTTTGCCTGCCCTGGTGCAAGCAGTAGCGTAGAATTTCGAAACCAATTCTTCGTCTCTATGTTCGGGCTTGTCGAACCTACGCTTCACTCAAAGTCCCGTGTCAGTCACCTCAATACTCAACTTCTTGCTCTCAATCAAGAAGCGGGCTTTCTTCAGCACATTCACTTCATATACGACAGATTTAGACGAGACTGATTTGACTTAGCCACTAACCTTAACTTGAAGCTGAATATATTTTTCCACTATCGTATGATTTTTTATTGACTGAATAACCCGAAAAATGAAGGACAGGGAAGGAAGTATCAGAGTATACGGCGCATTACAGCATAATATCCTCAAATTTTTCTCTCCCACACACAGCAAAGAATGATAATGCCACAGTTGGATCAGTAAACAAATGAACAATCCCACTTTGATGAACCGGATATGAAAATATGACAGGGATCACAGCGATGCAGAACAAGTTAATTGCAGTCAGAGAGTGCAGGTCTGGAGTGCTCATAAAAGTGACAAACTTGACAATATGTACCGGCTAACGACATTCACAAGCCTACATTTGGACGTATTCCTTACTACCAATGTTGGCGGTGACCGGGCGCAAAGAATTCGAGTTCTGTACTCATCACTTCATCCACAGCTGATCTCCTTCCCGATTGGTGAGGCAGTTTGACCAGTCAGCTCGTAATCATGAACTTCACCAGATTGCAGGTGTACAAAGGTGCGCATTTCTATCACGGAAACCGATTAGTAGAATCTACAGTCAAAAGGTAATATATCTACTTAGCAAAAGTGCAGGGGAGTGTCATGCACGGGTGGTGTCAGCGGCAAAATGTTGGAAGATGGCGAAAAAAATCCCCCGGAGAGATGGTACACCTGGGCAGTTTAATATGTTCGTCACGTATCCGTCTTTTACCGTCCCAAAAGTAATTTGCTTACCTAAAAGTTTAAGGGATGTTACGGGATGTTTTTTCAAAGCCTTCGATGTCAAACCACAGCTCAGGGAACTGCACTGAAATAGCCTTAGTCCTGGGATCTCTCAGCTACGTTAATCTTTGGCCGGAGGCTACACAGAACAGGCTGTGCGATTGACTGAACATAACATGAGATGCTGGCTCTTTTCTAGGAAACAGTTTTTCCTTTTTCCTGTTTTGTATAGCCGACCATTTGCTCAATACACTCGTTTTCTGGATGTGGTCATTTGTGCGCACATGAATGATTTTATTCACAAGATGTTCTGCTTCCTGAAAAAGAAGGAAACCAAAATATTCTATTAGAACCTATTTCATGTTGTCGAGTGAGACCATGTACTTGGTGAGCATCTCAGCTTGTTTGCGCGTCTTCCTGGTTCCCATTGTGAGGTCTCCTTGGGACTTTCCAATTTGGCACGATAGGTGTTCGCCGAAATTCAATCTTTGGGGTAATGATAGTTACATTTAATTCCTTTACGCTCATCAGTACTTTTGTTATCTTTTTGTCGTCTTGAAGTCACGTTGTATCGTGCGTTTGGGTCTGATGACGGACCTTAAAGTGCACCTAGTGTTTGTGTTAACAGTAGCATATGAGAAAGACGGCTGTACTTTTTCACTCTGTACATATATATATATATATATATATATATATATATATACAACTCTATGTGTCT